CCCTAAAAAGACTTATCTGAGTAATTAGCACCATTGCAGAGTGAAGTATCGCAGTTTTTGTATTTTCAAAAATACACATATGTATGTATGTCCATATGTACATTATACATACATATTTTATGGATATGGTACATGCTTTGAAAAATTCAATAAAACATATATGTATGTGCATATGCAATGAGAAAATTCTTTAAAAGTTACTTTCCTTTCTTCTCGCCCCCCACACACAGGTTGCTGCTGAACGTCAGGTATCCTTCGACAACGGCATCGACGGTTCTGTAGCCGAGGATTGCTTTTTTGCGATGCGTGCCTTTGCACAAGGCTACACTTTCAATTTCATCGAAGGTGAAATGTACGAAAAATCACCATTTACGCTACTCGATTTCCTCCAACAACGCAAACGCTGGCTCCAAGGCATACTACTCGTGGTACATTCAAAAATCATACCACTAAAACATAAACTCTTGCTTGGCATCAGCGTCTACTCGTGGGTCACTATGCCATTATCCACTTCGAATATTATTTTTGCCGGCCTCTATCCAATACCATGCCCGAATTTAGTTGATTTCGTTTGTGCTTTTATTGCTGCCATCAACATTTATATGTATGTATTCGGTGTGATAAAATCATTTTCGCTATACCGTTTTGGGCTGTTAAAATTTATGGCTTGTGTGCTGGGCGCCATTTGCACCATACCCGTGAATGTGGTTATCGAGAATATTGCCGTCATTTGGGGTTTATTCGGCAAGAAGCATAAATTCTATGTGGTACAAAAAGATGTGAGAGCAATGGAAACAGTTTGAGCGCGGAGAGTAGGGGAGAAGGATCGTCACATGTTTTCAGCACATATTTTGGTTATCGCGACCATATGATATGATGACCATACAACAAACGTGCAGGTGAGGGTATGTGTTTGTTAAAACAGCGCGTGTGCTTTTGATAGCAAATGGAGTTAATATAAAAAGAAAAGTATGTAGTTTGATAAAGTTTGGTTGCGTGGTGTATGATGAAATTCCTATTCAGACTATTTCAAGGTTACCGAGCTGACCTTTAATCGATAAAGTTTTATTTCTGCTAATGAAATTTTAAACATTACCTTAATACATACATACATACATACATACATACATTATAAAGGCTCTAACAGACCTTTTTGTTTCTTTACAGACTTGTCGAAAAAAATTAATACAAATGCAAGGTCTTTCTTCCAAATGCTGTATTTATTAAAGACTAACTAACTTAATGCTGTTGATTTTAAAGTCAGTTCAAGAAAATTAGTTGGGGCCTTTTTTATTAAGGCAGCTATATCGTTGAACTTTTTTGAATTAATTTTGCATTAGATTAAAAAATTTACCAGATAATATATGTTAGGTGCTATTTCCACACAAATTTTTAATCGGCATTTTCTTTCCTTTCCTTACTTTGCAGAATGTGTTCTCCAGGGAGAATCGACTACAACAACTACCAAACAATCAACACTTCTGGTGCGATACTCAGCCTATACAAATTTTGCTCTACGCCATTGGCGCCGACATCCGATTAGCTGTTGTTGTCATTTGTCGTCGCCTGAACACATCCATTGTAGTTGCTATTGCCACAGCCACCTAAACATTCTCCTGCGCACTTTTCACTTTTTGGTCATATCCTAATTAATACTTAACAAATAAAAAATCACGCAAATACGCGCCAACACTCACACCTGCCACACCATCAACAACCACACACCAACACTTCGTATACCATTACGCAAAGAGCACAAACCCATTTACGAAATTAGTTCACTCACACTTGTAGCATAAAAATCGTTGTATTTTATATTATATAATTACAATTAGGTCAAAATATTTTTTATTATATTATTATTGTATGTTATACAAAGAAGAAGATTGCATAAGTTGTGTGTATAGTCAACTAAAAATAATGTTGATTAGAGAGTTAATTTTGTTGAACAATTCTATCAGGCGCTAGGTATTTACGTACATACATATGTACAATATAGAAATTTGTAGCAAATATTTGTAAAGGTATACATATATGTAGCACTCAATAATGTAACCATATTTGAGCGAGTAAGCGAGAAATAGGCATACTCGGACTACATACACATTTGTAGTGTAAATTCCAATTATTCCCTATAATGTACAGGCAGGCCGCTTTAGTTGGAAAACTTTGTACTCTGAATGGTTTCGGCAAAATGTGTCTGATCCAAAGGACATCTATCTACTTCACACACATTTCCCTACATCTTAACCGTTTTATACATACATATTTTTGTACAATATTGAGTTTTATTCGCTCTTGGAGTTATTTTCTTTTGTAATTTTTTTATTCTCTGCAGGTATTTATTGTTTAAGTAAAACATAATAGTTGAAAAAAAAAACTTTATAAAAAAGCCGTAAACACTTAATTAAAGAAAACAAACATCCCACGGCAGTGGGGTCTACGTAACCGAAACTTATATATTGCCAAGGACTGTAGCTCTAGCATCGTTCCTCAAAAACTCTTTGTGGAATTTGTGTGCTGCTACAACAAGAACAACATCCCAATTGTTGCAAAAATAGAAAATGTAACTAAAAATAAACAACAAGAAAAACCCTAAATAAGCTTTAACAAGTTAAATGAAAAGTTATGTATATATTATTTTCTAAATATTTTTTTTCTTTTTTGATATACAACCTCTTATTATTTTTATATTGTATCGTTGTCGCACTAGCCTTAAGTGTAAAAAAGTAAAGCAAAAACTTAAAATCATCCCATTGGACAAAGTTAAGTTACATTCAATTGTTAACACACATACAACACAAAATATTAAAAATTGAAATAAAACAACAACAAAGTATTACCATAAAACGCTCTTTTTTGTTACATCTCATATTCGTTTCACTTACAATTTTGGTGGTATGTACTAGTACATATCGTAGCACCCAACGAAGAGTAGCATATCTCAAAATACCGTGGAAGATTAGCACATTTCATTATTTGCGTGGAAGACTAGCAGATTCGCGTATTTCTTGTGGAATCTATTCATATATACGAGGAACATATATATACATGCATCGGTCATATCAAGAGCACCTCATTTCAAATTGATTTTGTTTTCCGCTTAGGTTTATTTATTTATTTTTAAGAATTTTCATTAAAATAAAGTTCATTCTCTAATAAAACCCGTATAAACCCAAGTTTAAAACTTTGTAGAAAACTAAAAAAAAAATCAACAAATTTTCATTCAAATTTCAAACTTATTTTCTACCGTTGTTACGGTTTTCGTCCATATAAAAATAAATTGTGTTTATTCGTTATATGGGAGCAAATTCGACACAAAGAATCAACGGTAATTTTAAGTCTCTTGAAACTTGCACATTATCACACTAAAATTGAATGGGCCATAAAACTGCATACTCAAAAAAATTATAACACTTCTGAGCAAAAAAGTTTGAAATTTGTATGAAAATTAGTTGATTTGTTTTTTAATTTCTGCAAAGTTTTAAACGTGGATTTACATGGCTTTTTTAATTTACTTTATTTTGATTGAAATTGATGAATGAATGTTCAATGTATAACCATAAAACAATATGAATTGCATAAAGCTTATAAGCGAAAAATACCTTTAAAAAAAGAAAAGTGGTGATCTTCGGCAAATGATCACTAGACGGTATATACCTTCTGAATTTCAAGTTTTTATAATACAATTATAGAAATATAAAATAAACACTTGAATTTTCCACATAAATTATGTTTTTATGATTTACTTTAAACCTTAAATGTCCTACTTTTCCACGCAGAAATCTGAAATGTGCTAGTCTTCCACGCGAATAGTGAAATGTGCTACTCTTCGTAGGGACCAACGATATGTACTATGCAATATGACTATTTTTATAAGCAGCTGTTGCTCCGCTGCTATTTTTTTTAAATATGCCCCATATCCGCTTATTTGTTCCTTGAATTTCTTTATTAATTAATTTAAAATAGAATAAACCCAAAGAAATGTAAAAAAAAAAAATATGTTAAAGTACAAAAAATTTTACTGCTCCAGGTGAGGCTCGAACTCACAACCCCGGCATTGCTCACTAGTTACTGATTATAAGTACCGTGCGCTAACCAATTGCGCCACTGGAGCTATGTTCGTTCGCGGGCAAAATGCGTACATAAGCACCGGCTCAATGCCCAATCGCGCAGAATGCATTAAGAAGCAATCACACGTTTAGGGTTGCCATTGCGGTTTAACAACCGCTCTTTGGTGCAATTCAAAATCAACTCTGTGTGTTTTTGATTCCAAACCGATTAGGATGTCAGTCATAAATAAACAAAGGAAAAATAAATAAATATAAAAACGATTGCCAAAATAATTCAATGTTGCAGTTTAGTAAAAAGCAATGAGTTGGTTCGAGGCGAAGGGTCTAAATTGGGCGAAAAGTGCAATAAAAGAAGCAGTCGCTTCCATCGACAAAGCACTGGATATACAAGATGAAAATACTGGTGGTGAAAAAAGTATGCAAGTCGAAAAGTCTTCATCTGCGAATACGACGTCAGCTGGTGGCGCTGTGCGAAAACAAAAGCTCCCAGGAGCTGCAAATCGCGAACGAAATAACACCCACAATGTGGTTACATCGCAAACTAGTATAGAAGCCAGTAGTCCTACCGCAACAGTAAGCTCTGTGACTACAATATCCTCTCCCACATCGGCAGCGCCTTTGGTCTCATCAACATGGGGCTCCTTCACAGGTTCATTCTTCGAAAACCCAAATGTACAACAAACAATTACAGCGCCGCCGCGTACCAGTGTGGGTAGTGTCGGCATGCATGCTGTTGCTATAAAGTCGCAAAGCGATTTAACAACTATTCCAGGAGCAGGCGGTGCCGACTCGCCGACTACACATCGACCATCTATTACTTCGACTACAACATCCGATTCTGTAGAATTGTTGTCTCCGCCTATTTCCAGTAGTTCAGAACAGCAGTCACCATCTGCTGGCGCCAATTACGCAGATAATAATGACGGATCTGCTTCTGTGGAAACCATTAGTGCAACGCCAACATTGGAAAGTGAGGTAGGAAATAAAGATATGTGCATGTCTGTAAGTGCCTCACTGCCAGATAGCATTGTAATTATAACGGAAAAGGAGGAATACGACAAGGACGAAGATTCGATATCATATAAAACGATAGTGGGGGAATCTATCGATGCCACAGAAAATGAAGGTATTTTTTACAATATTCGTTGACAAGCTTTTATTTATACTGTACATTTTAGAAAGCAATATAAACCCCGCGCCAACACATTTTTCAAACACTATTGAGCAGCCAGCTAATTCGACCAGTTGTTCGCCGAGCCAAAAAATGATCATTTCTTTAGAAGATATAACTGGGTCCCATCATGCCGATTCGGATTCCACACAAAGTTTTGAAGACGTACAAATGCATACAAGTTGCGTCGTTAGCCAATACTTGGAAAAAGCACAGACGGTTTCTCCAGCATCTGATGACCAAACCGATCCATTAAATTCCAAATCAAATTCATCACCTCACAATTCCAACGATGAAATGGAAACTACAACATCATCAGATATAGAAATCATTTCTAATCCCAATGGCAATGGCGACTCCTCCAGCACGAATAGTTTGACGCGCGCCAGCCCCTTAAAGTGGAAAAAGCAAAGTAACCAGGGTGGGGCGCAAACGAGCAGTGTGCCTTCTTCAAGAAAAGGTCACTTTCGAGGTCCGTCAGAAATATCTATACTATCTGAAGACTCGCAATCAGAATTAGATAAACTTTTGCATCGCATAAGCGAACTAAGTGAAACCTTAGAAGCACGTGAGCTACGTTTGCTGCAATTGGAACGTCAAAACATGGAATTGCAAGAGCGCAACAGGGAAATCGAGAGCATGCTGGAAACAATAAAATCTAATAGCGGCAGCATCGATAACGCAGAGGGCTACACGCAAAGATTATCCGCACTGGAGAAGAAATTTCAAGCCAGCATACGCGAGCGAGACGCGCTACGTATACAAATTAAAGATCTGAAAGAAGAACTGCAGCTGAAAATACCTAAAGAGCAGTTGACAGAGAGCACCATAATGATCGAGGAACTGAGGCTGGAAGGTGAAAAGCTCTCAAAGGATATCCTCCAGCAGTCTAACATCATTAAAAAGCTCCGTACAAAAGAAAAAACTACTGATGCCACATTGAAAAAGAATAAGGAAGAAATTACGAGCTTGTCAGATGAACTTGATCGCCTCAAGAAAACCTTAAATGCCAAGGAGGAAGTGGAGCGCTCACAAATAGAAGCAGTGCATAAAATGTCTTCCGAAAAACGAAAACTTGAAGACGAAAATGCACAGCTGCGTAGTAAATTGGAAGATTTACAATCAAAGTGGGCCACTTTGCAGTCAAGCTTCGAAGCGGCAAAGTCGGAATTGCAGCAACGTACACGCCAACATACCGATCTAACACGTACCGCTGAAGAAGCGATTGCAGCAAAGAAAGAACGCGAATTGCTAAAAACGGAGAATGAAGAAATTTTGGTGCAGTTGGGGGAATTGCGCGAAAAACTGCGTGCCACCGAGCAGGCGACAGTGAAGCGAGAACAGCAGTTGCGCGAAGAGAGCAAGGAACTAATAAGACGTTTGGAAGCGGCGGAAATGCGTGCTGAAAGAACTACACAGGAGGCGAGTTTGACGACGGTTCCACTAATGCGACAACTAGAATCCCTACAAAATACGTTGACCCAGCGAACCAGCAACTGGAATCAAGAGGAAAAAATACTTCTAGATAAGTTGGGTAAGCTAGCTGACTTGTCCTGAATAGTACGTAAAATTTAATTCTTTTCCATAATCAGCGGTAGCGCAAAGTAAATTAAAATCCTTAGAAAGTTTGGAGTCTAAATATGAAGAACGTGTCGAATTGCTGCAGAAGCGTTGCTCTGAACTGGAAGAAACTCTTTCACATTCGCTGCTGCAAGAAGAAAAAGCGAAAATGGGTTCGCAGCAAGCGCAACTGGAATATAGTATGAAGGAAAGTGGCCTGAAAAAGTAATAGATGTTTAAAACTCGTTTAAAATCATCTCTTTTAAACGAATATTGTTTTTCCGCAGAGAGTTAGCTAATCTTACTAAAGAGCTTGAAGTGCTTACATCAAAAGTGGAGACTTTGGAGCGTAAAAATAAGGTATTGGAAGAGAAGCTGCGTACAAAAGCTGAAGAGAAAGCGCAAAGTTGTATCGGCGGCGATAATTTGACTCAAACTGGAGGTGAGACACAGCGCATAGTTTCGCTTTCGGCAACAACGTTTTCGCCTCATGAATTAGCCCGCCAGCAATCGTTAGAGCAATCTCATCGCTCACAGTCACCGGCGATGAGTTTTGGGCGAAATTCGCCAGAGGAAACAATAGAAGGCGGCAGCATAGATTGGCAGGCAGTGAGTAAAGTACATATTTAAGTGGGAAAGAATTAATAAGTTTCTATTCACCTCAACTTTGCAGGAAGATATCGACTGCATTTCGAATTCCGGCCGCCATATGGGTAATCTCGCCTATGGCATAAATATGAGTTTTATGGGGCATAATACGTCCACGCTGGAGCATTTACAATCGATGTTAAAACAGCGTGACGGAGAACTAGTACATATACAATGGGAGTTGGCACGTTTGCAAGAGGGGCGCAGTGTGCTGGCAGAAGAAATTGCTGATTTAACGACGGAACTAGAAGCCGTGAGTATTATCTTTTATATTCAAAATATTGACTCTTAAAACTTATTATCGCATTTCTGATAAGGCAAAGGAAAAACTACTTTCCTACGAGTCACTGGAACAGAATTACGAAGAACTACAACGTAACTATGATGCACTACTGCAAATGTACGGTGAAAAGGTTGAGCGCACCGAAGAGCTTGAATTGGATCTGAAGGAAGCGCGAGAAGCGTATAAGACGCAAATCGATGAACTGCTGGCCCAACCCCCGCGACCCACATGATACTTGCAGTACACTGAAGTGAGTCGAATCGCTCGCTAAATCCACTTGTTATTTAATTCCGTTTTAGTTATAATTGTAATTAGGGTACTGTATGTATGTAGTTATGTTATATCCAATATTTTAACCGAAATATTGCTGTGTTGTGAATTTCAGCTACAAGAAAGAAAAGTATAATTTAATAAAGCCATTGGAATAATTTAATTCTTATAATTGCAATTTATTTCGTATTGGCGTTAAAAATAAAATTTGAAAAAAAAATCTGTAAAAATCAACGAAAGGCAAAAACTAACTAATACTAATTTTACACAATTTAAATATAAGTTCTAATTTTTAACAGGATATATCTGCTTTAACATACTACACAACGTTGGTTGGCCTCGTAGTAGGTGGTTGCGCGCTCGGCTTCGTCATCATATCAACGGCATTTTTGAACAGCTGCGTTTTAACGAAATCTGTAGCCGCCGAATTGAGGTCCTTATTTGCACCGAAATTACACTTAATATAGCCAAACAAATTGGCGCCATTAAGGGCAAGTGCAATCATCACCAGCAGTAACCATTTGAATTTCAAACCGAAAAGTGCCACCAAGAAGAAGAGGCCCCAACACACGGGAAATAGTATTAATCCTAACCAGAAAATGCGCGCCTCATTGTTGTTTACACGCCCCTTTTTAGATTCGAATACCCAATGTGATACACCTTCATCGTCTACGTAATTCCACCAGCGTAGTCCGACCAGCAAACGACCAGTAATATTCTTGACAGTCCAAAAATCTGCTGACAGAAATAGCACCACAAAAACAAAGCTGGTTATGAAGGAGTCACTGAACCAGCTGCAGAACATGTATATAACTACAGCAGCGCCGCGGAAGAAGAGGTGGAAAAAGGTAACGTAAGGATGTCTACAAGATTAAGTGATTTAATTATTTCCTTTATATTTCATTTCAAAAGTATATATAATTTCTTACGCGTATTTTTTAGTGCCTTCACTTGGATCACGCATTTCATCCTCCTCGCCGAATGGAATCGTATCATCCTCTAGCAGTGGCACCTACAATAAGCAACAAAATTTCGTAGCGCAAAAGCGCGAATGGAATTAATAGCGTTGAGGTGATTCATAAACAGGTCAGTTAGTAAAACCAATCCTGTCGAGTTAGAGGAACGGAAGCATGCAAACCTACATTTCTTACCGTAGCCGAAGCCATTTTATGCTAGTTTTTAAGTACTGCTTTACTGGAATGCAATTGTTGCGCCGATTGATACAATTTTACTTGCTGGTGCAAAGAAAATTTATTATTTACACTTCAGCCACTTGTATTGCTTACGTTTGATTTGACACTTGACACTTTATTTGACATAATTTGGACCGAATGTCAGCCCAAAGCAAATAAGCTATACTACCTGAAGTACAAGGTGCCTGTACAAATTTTTGGTAATGCATTACCGGAAGTACAAGGTGTTTGCCGAATCGGTTAGGGGCCAAAATCCTAGGGTAAGGGCCCTACACACGCACTGATGAAACGGAAAACAAGTTCCCACCCGACCAAGAAACGTATCTTAAGAGCGAAATACACCACACAAGCGGTTTGACAAACCAAGCGAAATTTCCCTTTGCTTCAAGCCATTTGTGCTGTGTATGGGGGTGTTTGAAGGTTTGACGGCGGTTTGTCAAACCGCTTGTGTGGTGTATTTCGCTCTTAAGCGGATGTTAAGAGTTTTATGATAATTTCTCTTACCGGCCGTCTTCACATGCTTAAAAATCTCGCTTGCGTTCTGCTATAGAGTTTTGTTGACAGGGCCTTCGACAGCATACTTTTTCATTCTAAAATGTCGCCTAAAAAGAAANAACAATGTTTCTACTTTGAAGAATTCTGGGAAAATATCTGTCAAACAACAAATGATGGTTGGAGGCATACGAGATCTCGGTATGCGAGAAAAAGTATGATTCGTCCACACGTGCGGGATCTCACATGCGTCGTAACGCAAGCGAGATTTTCCAGCACGTGAAGACAGCCGGTTACCCTCGAGCCCCGCCTCACCAAAGAATATCGTATTTCAAACAGAATTTTGTATTTTCGCTTGTATATTTGTTGATTTTTATGGAGAAAGTATTCGTTTTATAAATTTTCTCCAACTCTTCGCTGACAAAATATTCGTAAAAGTATATAGAAGGAAGTATCGCTTTAGTAAACATTTGGTAAGAACTTTTCAAAACATTAAAAACGTAAAACGAGTTAATACAATAACAATAAATTTAACAATTTAATGAGCCCGGAGAGATATCCATCGACCGGGAAATATTTCCCCGATCTCCTTTCTCAACTTTACAAGAAATAAATGGCCTTAAACCTGAAGAACGAAAAGTAGTTAGAACGTTTGTGAGTGTGTATTTATATATCCGGATCGAACATTTAATAAAATTGCATTTAAATTGGTTTATATAAACAGATTTTTTTAGAACTTCAGAAAACTGAACTATTTTCTTGATTTTCCGAACAAAGTAGAGTATTTTAAACTTGAACGGGCTGATAAATTCGAAATTTTTTGGTGTAACCGGGCATTCATAATTTAAATTTTTTTTAAATATGCTCTTTTACCCCTGGTTGTGCCAATATGCGTATCGATGCTGTACGCAATCTTCCTTTTTGTGCGGCTATTGAAACCAGCCTTGGGTCAGCACATATCTGAAGAAAAATAAACAAATCGTAGTTTTGGTTATGTTACTAGAATAGTCAGGATTTTTGCTACCAAGTATAAGCTTACCTTCTTCCATTATCCCGTCCGATCGCTTCAGAACCCCGGCTCTGTCAGAACCGAACACTGGTACTCTTGCCAGATCCATATTTTGGTTCATCTCTTGAACCAGCACCTCAAATTGTGTTGTTTGGGTTTTTTAATCGGTGAAAAAAAATTAATTATTATTTTTTATTATATTGATTACATTTATTTTGTTTGAAATTTATAAATTTTTCACGGTTTTTAGTTTTTTTTTGGCTAAACGATTCATCTTGACGATCACTTATAACCTTTTGTTTGTTTTTAACGATTATCGCCTTAATTCGCTTGCTTTTCGTGTTAGAAAATTGCAACTGGACGAAAGCAACGTGACGATCAGCTGTTTTCGTGTTGCCAGACGAAACGAACACTCGTTTGAGATACATGATGAGGCTGTTAAAGAACTTTATTAATTGATGTTTTCGTACATTTTTCAATTAATAAACATTATGTAAAGCTACTTTATTTGTTATGAATAAAGCCATAAGAATACCGCAACACATAATTACATACATGTGTACATATGTTTATAAAATTAATGGTTTATTGCGCACCCTTTGCAACACCAGAGAATTACACAAGCGGAGAACTTAAAAAATCTCATATAAATTCTCTAGCAACACATCAGACGTTCTAGGTACATGTTGCTCAGCCAACTTAGGGTTGCTTCCTAAAGTATTTTTTGTCGGTACGGAGAATATCGTCATTTCATGTAATTTATAATGTTTTAAAGCATTTCATTCTTTGTTTACCTACGTGAAACAATTTAAACTAAAGCAAAACCAATTATTTAACCAGAAATATGTTAACTTAACGAAATTCTAATCACACAAGTGACAGTCGATTAGCATCCACTTGCAAAATCAACGCAGCACACGTTCCACAAGACGCAAATGCAACCCCGTCGAATATAATGCGGTTGCGCATTTGGCAAAGTATGCTCTCATTTCGCTGTCACAGTGACAGTCTGTCTGTCATGTGCACCGGTTGATTATTTGAAAAAGTGTGGTTTGTGTTGCGTTAACTCAAAGAGTGTGTGATTATCGTGTAGCCAAATAGCTGAGAACACTTTGAAATCACTTCTGATAACGATCGCTGCTGTTAAATAAAGTAAATAAAACAAAAAAAGCAATACAATCCGATTAATTCCGAATTACAAAAGCTGAGAGTGAAAAAATTCGTAGAAGTGTGCAAAATCTGAATGAGCGATCGAATATTTTGTGAATATAAAATTTTATTTCAAAGCAACACGACGTTTGTGACTTTTACCAACCACTGTGCGATAGAAGCAGGTCAAAGCAGAGGAAGCAAATTCATATGGTTTTGCGAAATTTTGCAACGTTGTAAAAAAGAGGAAAACAAAGGACATACAATTAATTTGAACCGCCAGGAACTGCCGGCTTAATTTTTTAAAGAAACTAATTTTTGAAGTGGTGATATTATTTAAATAATCGCAAATACAATTGAGAAAAGTTAAGCGATGTACACCAAAGTGTTTTAACAAAAAAAAAAGAAAATCAAAAATTAGTGCTCTGTTCTGAATCTTTGAAAGTGTGGCTCGCAGGTTTTTATTCCATTAAGATTTTTGTTGTAGCATAATGGACCTTTTGTGCACCGAAAATTTAAGGAATGATTACGACTGTGAAGTACCGTATGTGCCTGCGCAGTCGCGAGCACATACCTATGCCCAATCGCAGTCAATAATACAACCACAACCACACCGGCAATCACAACCACCACCCACAACAACAACAGCAATTACAGCAATAGCACAGGGGCGGCACAAACCGAGCATACAGATATCTACATACCAAAGGAACAAGCACATCAGCCACAAACGCAAGTTATGCCCGGCGCACCCTCGCCCTATTCTAGCTCCAGCTCGTCGCTGTTGTCGCCGGGTTCGAGTTCACCCTCTTCCGGCTATAATTCGGCAACAAGTAACAGTTCCCATGCAAATCCAACGCATATGCTTCATAGCCGTCAGTATCGTCAGGAAGAAGACACACAAAATTGCATCCAGCAAAAATATGTACAACAAGAATTCCATCAACATCATCAACAGCAACAGGAGCAGCAGAAGCGGCAAGAGACAAAGCAACCGCATTACTATGAAGATCAGCATAGTGCTGGTAATGCTTTATTTCTAAAGTCAGTGCCAAGTCGCGATTTGGGTTTCGTAAATATTGCTACAGTGGATCCGATATTTTTAACCGATCGTTGTTTGGAGAATGCCTTAAAAGCAGAAGAAAAGCTACCACAACCGGTTTGCACGTATTTCAAGACGGTGCAGAAAGACATAACACCGCCTATGCGCAAAATCGTCGCAGAATGGATGATGGAGGTAAGTACATACCTAGTTGTATTTGACTATCTCAAACAAAGAATATACGGAGATACATATGTACATATGAATGTATAAGTATACTATTCTATTCTATATATATAGATCGTTTAATTTTTGTGCTCGTTGTACTGCAAAGGAAAGAACACAAATGAATTTTTCGTCAAAACAGCTAACAGTTGATTAGGTATATACTTATGTATTATACTTAGCTATATATACATATGTACATAAATACATATGTATAAGTAAGTATATGCTAAGTACATCTGCTAAATATTTTTTTGCTAATTAGTTGCTTTCTGTATGTCTATTCGTATATTCTTATGTACATATAGATGCAGATTTGGCGATAGGCAAAAATGTTGAACATAAGTTTGAGTTGCTAAAAATTTGTAGCAACTTAACTTTTCTCATTCATCATTTGCCCACTTAAGTATGTGTTTAGTGTTAAATAATGAGTAAGCAGACTATGTTTTACAATAGTACCTACCTACTGCTTGTGAACAATTATTTTAGGTACCTACTTTTGCCTTGCTTAAATGCTTCAGGCGTGAGATTATTAAAATATTTTTATGGTTTTCAGTTTTGCTGAGTGTAGTAGAAAACAAACAGCTTCGCTGGATTTGAAAGCTAGACAGATAGATAGCTTCATTTTCTATATATAAGCTAGAAACGCACATGCATATGTATGTATGTACATATGTACTTGAACTTAAGCAATAATTTATGTGCATATGTACATCGTAATATATATCATAACCACATATGCGTAAGGCAAACTTTTTCCAGATTTTTTCCAATATTTGACAAATTTTTGATTCTCAAGTGTAGGTACAACATATTTCTCTAAAATTTTTCCCAAAGTTTGATAAAGTTTGAATTAAAGTGGACATCTAAGCTTTTCTCAAGCGGAGAACTTACCTTACTTATTTTGCATACCAAAAATAATGTGCCCTTTAAAAAAGGGCTAGTTCTCCAATTGAGGTACACTGGAAAATCAACATTGAAAATTGGAATATATATTGGATCCCCATTTGACCTCCAACCAAAATGTTTATTAGTCTCCAACCCTCCAATAGTTCTTAGGCGCTAATCCTTCTTCAACTGTTTATTTGTAGAAGGATGAGCGCCTATTATTTATTCACACAGACTTGTTGAACGAGACAATTACGTTCACAATACCATAAAAAAGCGATAATCGAATAATAGTCGTTTATCTACTAGCAGTAGACACTCGCCATAGGGGTGTGAATCAGACGGTTTTAAATCGTGAAATAAATGTACACGTTAACTGAGCGGCTAGGTACATAAGTTCTAAACAATATAACAAAATTTCCAACAGCAACAAAATGTTCTTATGCATTTAAACGACTTTCCGGGAATGATTGTGTGTTCGTACAAAATAAATGTTAATTGCGGTTACAACTAACCGATCGTTGCCACTTCTAGCATCTTTTTTTTGCTGTTTGTGTTTTAGCGCTAAGTTTTTGCAACAAGCAAATTATTGCACATACATATCAGCTTATTACGGATCAAATTAGAAAAAATTTATTAATTGTATAGCTAAGCAAAATTTGCTGGCGCCAGACCTTAACCTTACAAGTGAGACAAAAAACGAAAAGAAGAATAGGTATTAAATAAAATATAGTTATTAAATATAAAAATTGGCTACAGCATGTGTTGTTTGCCCATATATACATACATATGTATGTATGTGGGTACCAATAAATTTACAATAAAAAATATTTACCAATAAAAGTATTTTTCCAATTCCCGATGTACATATAACGAATGTCATTCATAAAATGAGCCCTCAAACATATGATTATTTCACGTGGGATTCCTAAATGATTACATACGTATGTATGTATGTGCGCATGTATATTATATGAGTACTTATCACTAAGAAATGTATGTAAATTGTTAAAAGTTCCAAAGTAAAAAGGCACAGCGATTTTATTATAAATTCTTGATAGTGATTTATTTTTTGCTGCTAAGGCATGTGGCAACCAGAAATTTGAATAAATATAATGTGTACATATATACATATGTATGTATATACACACCTACATTTATTTACTTTAATATTTACATAAAAAGATTGATCGCACCTTAGGTCAACTACTTTGAAGAATACCTAGCTACGTATTTTTGTAGTACATACAGTAAAAACATTTTGCTCAATATTTCTGGAATGGAAAATATACTTAGGCATAAAATTGAAATTAGTAACAAATGTATAGTGAATATAGATTTATGCAAGTATTAATTTGATAATAAATAAACCAATTACATAAAAACATAGTAACCTGGTCATACGCAGAAAATGGTCATATCTGTAGCAGCATTTTATCGGTTGTTGGGATTGTAACAGCTTACAGATTCGCCAAAAAGTTTTTGGAGAGTGTTTGCTGGAGTGACATTCCTTGGCCAGATATAAATCTGGGTCGTTCCGGTTACATAGACCCGACTGTCGTGGGAACGGTATTTTATCGGTCATTCAATGTACTTTTTATTTTACTCAACTTAATATATCCCTCTTCAAAAGGGACACAACTCAAAAATCTGTTCCGGAAATACAATTACCTACTTGTGATCGTACAGATTCCACGCAATTAATACAAGAAAAGGTATAATAGCAGTTTTCTAGTTAGAAAAAAACATTAAATCATGAAGAACAAATTATTGGAATTAGTTGGATATGAAAATTGTTGTTGTTGAATCCTACCAATTGATTTATGGAAAAAAAAAAATTCAAACATTTTGTTTTTAGTTGTGAATTGAATTCTAAAAATCAAATTTCTAAAAGTTTTTTAGAATCTAATCGCCCGTGCAAAAACAATAGCAAATACATGTGTTGTACACATTTAGAGGTCTTTGGCTACAGCCTTGTCTCTTGCGAAAATATGTACATATGCGATTCTAAAAATACAAAGGCACACATATAAAATGTGCTTCATATTCACTTTTGCTTTGGGTTTCTATGCTGACAAATCTCTGTCGCCTATTAAAATTTAGGTTAATTGTTCCTGATTTGTTTTCATAAAAAGAAAGAAAGACACATACGAACGTTAAACAGGAACAACTTGGGGGGCTCTTGGAAATGGCAAATGTCCAACAAGTTGGAAAATTCTCAAAAAACTACGCGTGTCTTTCTTCAAAAATACAAATAAAACCAGGCAAACATTCCATGCGTTTAACTGGCAAATCGAATGATGTGACATTTGGACAATTCCAGCTGATAAGCCAAATTCACATAAAAATAATCACATAAATATAAACGCATGTGGATATTCTGTGCATGACAGGTGGAGCTTTGCATTGAGTTGGTTGAGACAGTGTTATTGTAGTGGAGTATGGTAACTAAATACATACATATGTACATACGTACAGTAGTACACATATGTATGTACGCATGTTGAATGTGCTTGATTCGTCCAACTCAGATCGATTATGGTAAAATTGTGTAACATCTGCTGTTTTACTGTTGGCTGGCTCTTCTTAGCGCTCCTCACATAGCCCAAGAAATAACGAATATAAACAAAATACAAACGTAAACAATAACAAGGTATTCTTTCTGCTTTTTTCGAACTACTTACCTTCTTGAACTGCGTGCAGGCATGAACTTTAATAAAAACGCTTTGCTGCATTAATGTGGCCACCGTTTAGAGAAGGGCATTGCATTGTACAGAAGTATATACATATGTATATGTATGCATGTGGCAAATCGTTTGGGTTAACGAAAACGACAGATGCAAACTGTTCCGCTGCAGACAGACGCTAAGCGTCTTACAAATTTACTGGAAATGTTATGGTATAGTTGGCAGCGTTGGCAGTGCAAAAGATGCGGCCTACAATCAAGGTGAGCACAGTTCCCCGTTTCTCTTGCCTTCAGCCTTGCGTCATACAGCATCGTTTGTACATACATGCGGCTGCACATAAGAAAGAAAACTACAGGAGTAGAAAATATGTACGAGGATCCCGAAAGTTCGTTTTGTTGGCAGGATAACGTTGTTGCAGCAGTCATTGTAGTCCTCTTCCTCTTTCTCTTCCTCTCCCTCTCCCTCGTCATCATCGTCGTCGTCTACGCCGTCGTCAAGGTGTGCAAGCAACAGCCAGTCAACAAACTCAGCATACGCTTCACTGCTTGATTTAATAGTGTGTGCACCACTAGTGCGCACGGGCAGGAGTCGGTCTTAAGGAATTGAGGTCGGTCTCACTACTGTAACTTCGTTATCGAGTGCAGGAATTGCTTTTAACTACTTGGTGTTGAAAGTGTATGAAGGGTCGCCTACCTTTTGCTTTTGTTATTGTTGACTTACAAAGTAGTAGGCAACAAACTTTGCAGCTGCCTGTTAAGGAATTGTAACTGCTCTTCATGTCTGTACAGGCAGGCCAATAGGAAATATGTTATGTTATGTAGGCCGAATGTTGTTGCAGACTGTGAGCCGAGAGGTATGCTGAATGTACATAGTTGAATAGCAAGAAATTGTAGGCGCTTAAGTCGACAACGAATAATCTGAAGATTCCTACAAAATCTTTAGCAGAATGCCAAAAATCTATGCTATGGGTCCCAGTCTAGGAAAGGGCGGGACTTGGGAAGCCGAGTCCTAACAGACGCCACGCTCTGAGGTTCTTTCTCTCTAGGAGAACGTCAGAGCTACTAATATCGGGTGTGACAAATATGGGCAAATGTATAGTATTTATTGCGTACACCCGAAAGTTCCTGCGGTTCTTCAAAACGATTATAAAGCTATAAAGATGAGATATAGACAGAATGCAAACTTCGATCGGCGTGCTTGAGATTTGTGAAACCCATTTATTCGAGCATCTGAACAGCTCAGGCATTGTCCCACTGATGGGGTTGTCTGGATTTGCCTCGAAGGATTCGGATTGTGTAAGATTATGAAGAAATAAATAGCACAAATTCTTCTATTCGACATCATAATAGGTCTAAGTGGCCACAGAATGAACTTTTGACAAGCGTAGCGGACTAA